GGTGGCAGGGGCCCAAGTGCTTGGGCCATCTTCTACTGCTTTCCCAAGCCATTGGCAAGGGGCTGGACTGGAAGTGGAACAGCAAAATGGGGACTGACACCCATATGGGAGACCAGTATTGCAGACAGCAGCTTTACCCGCAGTGCCATAAGACTGGCCCCGTCCTTGACTTTCTGTTATACACTGACCCCTGATAACAAGAGGCCAGTTTCCCCTACTTTTCCTCCTTAATTTCTGATCTGGGGGCTAGTCATCTGGAAAATGAACCAGCAGATGTAAGATCTCTCTCTCCTTCTCTGTTACTTTGACTTTCAAATAAATAAATAAATCATAAAGAAATAAAAATTTTAAAGGTGAGTTGATTTCAGTTAAGTCAAAAGAAAAATAACAGGTGGTCGCACAGCAGGACAAACATTTCAGTAATCTGGTAATTCCCTGGGGTGCAATGAAGGACTTTCAGAGGGGAATGAAGGCTAGCCAGAAACTTCATGCCCCTGCTTAGCTCACATTTCTCCTTTCTCGGACTTTTCCTAAGTGCCTGGAATCTCTTCTTCCTCCTCATTTGCGAGGTCCTTTGAGTCTGTCTCCACCAGGGCCCTGGTCCATGGTGCGGAGGTGGTTAGCTCTCTCAGTGCTGAACTCCCTGGGAAATTGCCTGTGCTCCCTGCGGTGCCTGGCACAGAAAGGGAAGCTTGGGAGGCGAGAATAAAGGAGAATGAAAGCGCCATCGCAAGCGTGCGGCCAGGAGGGGATGCACACTCCAGCTCCGGCGCTGTTCAGAAAGCCAATGCCATTATCCAGGCAAAGGGATCCGTATTGCAAGAGGAAGCTGGGTCTGTGGCGCTCCACATACACATTCGCATCTACAAGAGCTCTGGCCCACCAGCTTTATCCAGGGACAGGACAGGTGCCCACAGAACAAAGACAAGATGCCTCATTGCTTTTGCAAACCCTGGCCTCCCCCTCTCCCGTGTCCCATTTGGATTTCCACTCTTGCTCTCAGCTGGCTGTCAACCATGCCCCAAGCTACTGATTTTTTTAAAGATTTATTTATTTGAAAGGCAGAGGGAGGGAAAGGTAGAACGCTTTTGGTTTGCTTTCCAAATATCTGAAGCCAGAACTCCATCCTGGTTTCCCACAGGAGTGGCAGGGGCCCAAGTTCTGCTGCTTTCCCCGGCACCTTAGCAGGGAGCTGAATGAGATGTGGAATAAAAGGGGCTCGAACTTGCATTCAGAGGGGAAGCTGGCATTGCAAGTGGCAACTTAACCTGCTGCGCCACCAGCCTCAGTATTTAAGATTATTTTGCCTTGAATCAAACTCATTTTTCAAGAGAACGGTGGGTTGTTAACGCAGGTGAGAGAAAAGGACCCATAATGGTGGAATTAAGGACTGTAGTGGAAAATCCCCTTATGCCTCCACCATTCAGTGCCTGTTTGCCTCCTGATAGTACAGGCTCATTCTGGCAGCCCAATCGGGCTGTACCAGCCAGCCTGAGCCAGCCAGGAGTCACGTTCACAGACCCTGAGTCAGACTGCTGGGTTCAAATCCCCGGTCTTTTACTTATTAGTTATGTGACCCTAGATGAGTTATAAAACCTCCCTTTATCTCTAAAATAAGGCTGTTTCCTGTCCCATGCGGATGTTGTGTTCAATGAGATAATCCACCTAAAAGACCAGCACAGGGCCAGGCTGCACAGTAAACGCGAGCCATTATCATTCCACTCTCACATCCAAATGTCCTCATTTCCTCCTAGAAACACAGATAACGATGTACAGCCGTTTATTCTGCAGGCAGGATACATGACCCTACAGTGTAGACAAAACACGGCAGGCTGACCCTTAACTTGTGGAGTGACCGTTTGCAACTCACTTGTTCCCTCTGGGTCTGTTTCACATCTGTACAATTTCCAGGGTTGCAAATGCAAACATCTACAGAGGCCAGAGAGGTAAAATCACTGATGACTCAGGCTGCGGATAAGACAAAAAAGTGGGGGCCAACGCTGTGGCGTAGCAGGTAAAGCCACCGCCTGCAGTGTCGGCAACCCATGTGGGTGCTGGTTTGAGTCCCAGCTGCTCCACTTCTGATCCAGCTCTCTGCTATGGCCTGGGAAAGCAGAAGAAGATGGCCCAAGTCTTTGGGCCCCTGCACCCACGTGGGAGACCCAGAAGATGCTCCTGGCTCCTGGCTCCGGATCGGTGCAGCTCCAGCCATTGCTACCAATTGGGGAGTGAACCAGCGGATGGAAGACCTCTCTCTCTCCCTCTCTCTCTCTCTCTCTCTGCGTAATTCTGACCTTCAAATAAATAAATAAATCTCTTAAAAAAAAAAAAAAAAAGGAGTGGGGCTGGGGGTGACGGCTAGCTGTGGAGTTTCACTATTCCAGGTGGTGTCTACTGACCTGAGGACACACAGAACCCTGGAGTCTGTGAGAAAAATGTCAGAACCTCAGGACCCACCCAGACTTAGCTAAACTCAATCTGCATTTTAACAACATCTCCTGATTGATGATCCGGTGCTTGTGAAAGTTTGAGAGTGTGGAGCATAAGTTATCTAATAGGTATTCAATTCTTAAAAATATTTGAAGGGCCGGCACTGTGGCATAGCGGGTAAAGCCACTGCCTGCAGTGCTGGCATCCCATATGGGCACCAGTTTGAGTCCCGGCTGCTCCACTTCCAATCCAGCTCTCTGCTATGGCCTGGGAAAGCAGTAGAAGATGGCCCAAGTGCTTGGGCCCCTGCACCCACGTGGGAGACCTGGAAGGAGCTCCTGGCTCCTGGCTTCCGATCAGCTCAGCTCCAGTCATTGTGGCCATCTGGGGAGTGAACCAGCAGGTGGAAGACCTCTCTCTTTCTGTAACTCTACCTTTCAAGTAAATAAATAAATCTTAAAATAATATTTATTTGAATGACAGAGTGCCAGAAAGAGAGTGGGATAGACAAAGAGAAAGCAAGATCTTCCATCTGCTGGTTCATTCCCCAAATGGCAACAACAGCCAGGGCTGGGTCATGCTGAAGCCAGGATCCTAAACTCCATCTGGGTCTCCCATGTGGGTGGCAGTGGCCCAGCCACTCAGGGCCAATCTTCCACAGCTTTCCCAGGCGGGAAGTGGAGCAGCCATGCTGTGTAAGGAGAGGCTGGTGTCCTACACAGTAGCTGACTTAACCTGCTGTGCCACAAGGCTGGCTCTAGCTATTATTATTTTTTAATTTGACAGGTAGAGTTATAGACAGAGAGAGAGACAGAGAGAAAGGTCTTCCTTCTGTTGGTTCATCCCCCAAACCGCCACTATGGCCAGCGCTGTGCCGATCCGAAGCCAGGAGCCAGGTGCTTCCTCCTGGTCTCCCATGCGGGTGCAGGGCCCAAGCACTTGGGCCATCCTCCAATGCCCTTCCGGGCCACAGCAGAGAGCTGGACTGGAAAAGGAGCAACCAGGACTAGAACCCTGCGACCATATGGGATGCCGGTGCCGCAGGCAGAGGATTAGCCAAGTGAGCCACGGCACAGGCCCTCTGGCTATTATTTTTAAAATGTCAACCAAATAAACTGGGCTGTCAGGGCCAGGCGGACAGCTACTTGAAGCTGATCTAAGACGGGGCCAGCTTCGCGGCTCCTCTTCTTCGTGACAAGTTTGGGCACAGTGAATGCGGGTCTGCGGTGAGGCCCGAGTCTGGGTTCCTTGCAACAGTAACTCCTGTAATGGAAGGCAGTAAACTGTTACTGCCACTTGGCAGACCCGGGAGACCCTGTGAGCCCCGTGCAGACCCCGGACGGCGGTGGTGGGCGGCGCGCTCCACGCTGGCGACCGTTCCTGGCGAAAGGCCTGGAGAGCCCGTTAGTCTCTGGGTTCTCCAGTGCATAGTAACTGTTCGTGTCTTTCGGCCACTTCCCTGTAACTTCCTGGCAACCAAGGGGACAGAAGGTGGCCTCTTTCAGGACAGAGCAGGCCCACCTCGGAGCAGCGGATTTCCGGCCGCAGCACACAAAGGCGGCAAAGGCCTCATTGTTCTCGGCGGCCAGGCCGCGCCTCCCCCAGCCCGAGGGGCGCTGGGCGCGGACCCCAGGAGTCCGGACACAGCTCTTTTCCTCCCCAGGAGATCGGAGCCGGCTACTCCACCGTCGCTGTGGCCAAGCGCACAAGCCTGGCCCCGGGACGAGGCTCGCCGCGTCCCCGTTGGCCTGAAGGAGTGCGGCTGTCCCCGGGGTCGTCGGCTTGTGGGCCCCGCGTGCTGGAAGGCTGTTTGTTAACCGAACGACCCGCTGGCCAGGCCGGGACCCCGATCCCGGGCGCGGGAGGCCGTCGGCGGAGATCCCGGCCGCCGGGGGGCGCTCATGCTGCGCGGCCACCGACACGCGCTCCAGCGCGGGGCGGCTGCAGCTCGCGGACCCCTTCCCGCCCTCTGAGGAAACAAAGTACACCTTTGTCCTTGACCTGGCGCGAGCGTGTGCGAGACGGCGGGCCGGGGTCGGGACAGCGACCCTGGCGTTTCCTAGCCGCATTGGGGATTACCTCCGTGCCTGTCACCGGTTTGGTGCAGCCTGTGGGCTCATGCTGTGTGTGCCTCTGGTCCAAGACCTGATTCAACGTGCCAGGAGCCTCTGGTCACTGTCAAGAGAGCAGCTAGAGCTCATCTTCCGCCTTAGACAGGAGCTTCCTGAGGGCAGGCCAGTTATCTGAACTTCCTACGTCCTCAGTAGTGCCAACCTGGAGGTCAGGCTCAGCGGGTCCGGGCTCAGGAGCTGCTGGATGAAGGGGATGAGTGAATGTTTGCTGAACAGGCTGCGCCGGGAGAGTTAGATAGCTGCCACCTGGCCTGACTCCAAGGGGACTGGCAAGACCTGAACTGTTATCCTCCTGTCCATGCATAAGGTGATCTTCTCGTGAAACTGAGAATCCTCATCC